CCGAGGGGGAGATGCTGGATGAGCATAGGGATGTGCACAAATGCAGAAGACAGGCTGGACATTTAAAAGCTGGAGAGATGGCAATGTAACTGCAGCTTTGAGAGTCATTTGATTATCTGGGGCAATCAAATAGCCAAATATCTAAACCTAAGGGATTGTGTCTCAGTGTTAGAAGAGGAGAGGACAAAAAGGGAAACAGATACAGCAGTGAGGCTGATTGACTAAACCCAGGAGAGTGATGGCACTGACCCCATGTGTTTGGAGAAAGGAGAAATTGTCCTGGCAGAGAAAGGTGGATGGTGTCATTCCTGCCTCCTCCTGCTCCTCAATGGACCACATTCCCTCCACCCAGCATTCATCAATGGGGGGCCAGTCCCCAATTCAGTCTCATTTTTTTCACCTGAGACGAGTCTCGTTTGTGTCACCTGAGATGGTCACAAGAGGGTAGGAATTTCTCCAATAGACAATGGGATAGAAAGGATGTTTCCATCTATAGAGCAACCCAGAATCTTCTGGGTTCTCTCAGAAGGCAGAACCAGGAAAGCAACCAGGAACAAATATAGTTCCTGATAGTTCCTGATTCATATGTAAATGCTGATTCTCATTTAAAAGAAAGAATAAAGGGGTTTTCTGTTTTAATCACCTCATTGGTGAGGGAGGGATGTCTACCACACAGTTTGGGGGACAGCAAGTAATGGCATCTGTCACTGGACAGATGGATTGACAGATGTTTATTAGTTACATATACTCGTAAACCAAGGAAAGAAGGCAGTGCCAGCCATGCAGGCCTCACCAAGGTTGCCCTCAGGAACAGAGGGAGCAACCAGGGGCTGTGGAGGGTGGGTTATCCCCTGGTTTTCCTAGGAGGTTATGGCATGCTTGTTTAAATAATTCTATCGCTGACAGGGAACTGAAACCTGTTATTCCAGGCTGAGCAGGGTTACATGTGGCCCCCTGACAAGGAGCATTGTTTAGCTGTGGGACCTTATCCAGGAGAGCAGAGTCAGGAAAGGGTACTTGCAGATAGGCTCTTCAAGGCCTTCTCAATTTTGCCAAATGTCACAGCAGCACATAATGTTGAACTTTAATGTTAGGCTTTACACTGCATTTTCTTGATTAGGATAGGGCTCAGTCACAGGCCAGCTATTTCTCATGAATACATATGTTTGTATATAACACAGTGTATCTTCATATCTGCTCTATAAATTTGGTTGGGTTCAATGAGTAAAAGTTACACCACAGGATTTGGATGGAAATGCTGTCAAATTTTATCTTCTTCAAATGAAATTAAACATTGGCATTGTTAAAGGCCACACTGGTAAGAAATCCAGTATCAGTTGTTTAAGGGGGTCCCTCCCTATTCTGTTTATAGAACAAAGCAATTGCCACTCTCTCTGGCCTTTCAGGGATAGAGCCTCCACACCTTACATGCCACACTGAGTCATGGGGCATCTCCCCAGGGTTCTAGTGCCAAAGAGCTCTGTCCTCCTTGGAACGACCTGGTCATCTGTGCCTGTGGTCTTTCCAATTCGAAGACACTGTCATAGGTCCAGAGGTACCCCAGGTACAGAATCCACAGTCCAGGAACCCCTACCAGGCCCTTCAACTCATGGGGAGCCCTCAGCCAAGAAAACAGGATGTAATGTTGTCTTGGAAGTTTATTCCATCTTATCAGTTTCTCAGTAAACCACCTTTCCTTGCATCATTTTACTCATTATGGTATAGGCAAATCTTTTTGTTCCAGGACCTTGTTTTATTTGCAAGGTAATACAATGGTTCACAATTCTATAAAATTAATCCCCCCTTTGTAGCTGGTCTTTCTGTGTTAGAGACTCTGGTTTTATAGGAAAACCTTTTCTGTTCACATAAGCCACTCCTCGTGAACTTCACCACAGATCAAGAGTTCTTTTTCTGAATCTCCACTCCATGCAGTTGGTTCACAGCTCAGGGAGAAGCATGTAACTTGTCCATGAAGGTTCCCACAAAATCAATGAGTTCCAGATTCCCACAGTGTTGGTCTTCAAGGTCTCAGTGGGGATACAGACATTGTTTTATCTTCTAGCTGAAAAAAGCAGAGAAATGCAAGATCTGTGGGGATGAAGGAAAGCTCTTCAACTGCAGCTGGTGTCACAGCTTCTTTCATGGGGACTGTCACATCCCTCCTGTGGATCCTAAGAGGTTTGTGAGATGCAGACCCCTCTCCTTGTATGGACCTTCTTCCTGCCATGCACACTCACAATGCAGAGTCTCTCCTCGTGTCCTGATGGGAAAAGAGCAGGGTCAGAAGTACAGGGTCCAGTGATATGATGTGGGGAGCTGTTTAAAGATACTGTCAACAGGAGAGTAATATTTCCCTCTCTCCCCAGGGAGGTTGAGACTGGTGGCTGGGTTCCTTGCCTACATACCACTGCTGGCCTTTCCAGAACTTTCCCACCTCAGACTCCTGTTCACAGGAGCACAAATTCTAGTTGTCTGTGTTCTGTGCTTATTCAGAAAAGGCAGGAAACAAAGATATTTTTCTTCATTTTGCCATGTTCTCAATTGGGTAATAGAGGCACAAGGCCCCCGGGGGTTAAGGCCCATTTCCAACACTAAGACTTGTTGGGCAGGGCTACTTGTGCTCCCAGCAACTCAAAAAGAGAAAGGGGAGCCCATCACTCACCCAGACTCCATATTACACCCAATAAAATGCTGCTTCTACTCTAAGAGCCAGGGTTACCACATGAGAGTCCTGCAGAATCTAGGAGGTGTCCCCTCATTCCCTGGCTGTGCCCATCAGCTATGTCTGAAAGAACAGTGGCAGCTGTGGTAATAGAGGTGTTTCTGGGGCTTGCCTTGCTCACTTATATCTGACATCTCAGGAACAATTGGAAATGTACCTTCTGCAAAATAAAAATGTCTTCACGAAGTCAGCAGCTAGACCGTGAATCTGAGGTCCTGGCAAGACCGATGAGGCCTGAAGAGAAGATGGTGAGTTGAATTTGACCCAAAACATCTCCTTTCTGCTCACATGAAAAGTCAAACAGTCATGGGTGAGGGCAAGAGTTTCAAAGGGTGCCTGCTCTTCTGACCATGCCTCATCCACGCCGAAAATTCACCAGAACCTGTTTGCAGAAAGAAAAAGAAAGAAAAAATCTCAGCTATTACATGTTAGTGTCCAAGAACAATCCCTGTTTGGGGAAACTTCCAGTAGACTACTGTGTTCATGTATCTGCCTAGACATGCATTCGGGCTCACTCCTGCCAAGTTGCTTTTCATTCACAGTCTCCTTCTTTGCAGAAATGTGAATTCCTACTCCTAAAGGCCTATTGCCATTTCGAGGGCAACGTTTTTCCAAATATTCCACATGAAAATTATGTGAGTAACAACAACAAACCATGCATAGGCCCCATAATGTTACCCAACCTTGACACAGACACTGGGGAATCTGTGATCTGAAGCCCATGGGAGGGGGTGCATGAGCTGCCTTTACCTTTACCTTGTATTTCCTCTGGATTTTATGGGAATCCACAGAATGTAGACATTGAACTTTGTCAGTAATGCTCCTATTGATATATTTTTCATCAGTTTCAAAAGGCTTCTCAATGCCTAGAGACACTTAGGAGATTGGATGGAATCAAGAATAGTCTAAATGATGGATGTTATGCCCAAGTGGAGGGGTTTGTGCTTGATATGAACAACATCTATCAAGATCCTAAGGTAAGAGGCTCTCCCTACATCCATTTCATTTTCTATACATTGAGTCATTCTGCCTGCATTTCCTGGTACTTGGAGATTTTAGAGTTTCCCTCATCCTATGACAAGCCTATACAAGGAAGGATTCAGGAAGAGACTGGGTTTTTAAATTGAGGGTTTAAGTTCACCAGAGAGAGCAACAGTGAATAAGGAGCTGTCTCTGCAACCAGACTCCAGGCCCCTGAGTGCTAATTCCTCTCCTCAAAGGTGACAGGTGACCATTGAGAACAGTGGTGTCCTCCCTGTTCAAAACCTAAGGAAAAAATTCCTTCCTAAAGTCATGTTATCCTTCTTACCTCTCCCAAATACACTCAATCAGACCTCTCAAAGGTCCCAAACTGCAGATTCCTTTGCATGTTAATGAACCATATAACATATCACCCGAGGGGAATCAAATTGACCATGTGAAAGGAAGATCACTGATTGTACATCTGTAATATTTGATTGTTACTAAGACCTAACTCTCACTGAAACAAACAACCCAAAACCAATGACTAAGAGTCCTCTGTATAGTAATTATTTCCCATTTCTGTCTAGACAACAAGAGTTAATCATGCTATTAGGAAACAAAAGTTACTCTTACCAGCTTGAGATTTTTGTATTGTTTTGTCTTGCTTTGTTGGGTTGTTTTTGCTTGTTTTTAAATATATTTTTATTGATTTCAAAGAGAAAGGCAGAGGGAGAGAGAGATATAAACATCAATGAGAGAGAATCATTGATCAGCTGCCTCCTTCACGCCCCACACTGAGGATCGAGCCCACAACCTGGGCATGTGCCCTGACCATAAGTAAACCATGATCTCATGGTTCATAGGTGGACGCTCAACCACAGAGCCACACCGTCTGGGCTTAGCTGATTTGAGTTTTTAAACTTAATCTGTTTAATGTAACTTATGTGTTTAAAACAAGAGTTCTGATCATTTTCCAATGCACATTGTCTAATGACACTGATATTGTCATTATTTTTGTCTGTGTGTTTTTCCCCAGCACAATGACTCAGACCTAACAGAAGAGGAATTTAAGAAGAATTTCAAAAAAGTCTTTGCTTTTCAGTAAACAAATCAGAACAGTTCACTAGTGCAGTGGATGCTGTTGATACCCTGGAAAATCTCGCTTTCAGGCAGATTTCTCATCCCTGCTGTTATGTGTATTGACTGCTTATGCCATCTCTCCCCAGTGTATTTCTTTGGGCCAAATGGAGGCATATTCACCTGAAAGTTAAATGTCTTTGTCCTGGGGGCTGGTTCCCAGCACCAAAGATGAACCAACCATGTGGAGTGATTCATGTTCCTGTGCTCCTCAGGGAATCAGCCAGCTATGACCACATCCTTGCTTAGCATTTCCCAGCACAGTGTCCTGCCTCCCTTATCCCTTCTCCTCCCAAGAAAATTCTCACAATAAATCACTGACAAAAGAGACTTTGTCTCAGGCTTTGCTTTTAGGGAGCCCAACTTCACATAATGGTCTAGCAAGCCAGACCTGAGCATGGAGTTCTGAGCTGGATCACTGTCTAGCCAGCTGGCAACAGGTAGAATACTGTCAGTCCCTGAGGTACTAAAACAGTGCAATTGCAAAACACATTCACCTGTATGAATGAGATATAGGGGAAGAGGCAATTGTCTAACATTTACAAAGAAATAGTAACTATAAGAACTGTGTGATTAGATGGCTATTTCTTTTTTAAAAACTATTTACATATGCTTTTATTAATTTCAGAGGGAGGAGTAGAGAGGGAGAGAGAGAGATAGAAACATCAATGATGAGAGAGAATCATAGACTGGCTGCCTCCTGAAAACTTCCTACTAGAGATTGAGCCTGTAACCCGGGCATATGCCCTAAACAGGAATTGAACCATGGCTCCACGCTCAACCAGAGCCATATCAGCCTAGCTGGGTGGCTATTTCTAAGCTCATTTAAAGTATCAAAAAGAGTACATGACAAGCTTATATATTACCTACCACCTGCATCTGGAAGGTACACAATATGGAAGGCCTAGTGCAGGCCCTAATTTTAAGAATGATGGACTTCTGCCCACCCTGAGTGTCTCAGTTAGTTGAGCATCCTCCTGTGCAGAGAAAGGTTTGCCTCATGGGTTATGTGTTCGGTCCTGGGTCGGGACGTGTACAAGAGGCAACTGATAGATGTTTCTCTCTGTGTCTCTCTCTCCCTCTCCTTCCGTCTAAGCATGTGCTTGGGTGAGGATTATATATTTTAAAAAAAGAATGATAGAACTACAGAGAATACTGAATTCTAAGCTCAGCTTGGACTATTGTGCTCAATTCCTGATAAAGAAAACATCAAGCCCTGAAACTAAGAATGGGGCTTTCTAAGTAGATGCACCTGAGAACTCTGAACTCTAGATCCTTCTGAACCCACTGTCCTGCAAAAGAGACCCCTGTCCCTTTTGGTAGACAGACCACTGCCCTACCACTCCCCCCCCCCCCTTTTGTTTTGCACAAAAAAAACCCCATTTTGCCTGAACTAAAGCAGTGCCTTCCTCCTCCCAAGAAAATTCTCACAATAAGTCACTGACCAAACTAAGAATACACTAGATGAGCCTGCTGGCTGAAGAGATAGTTTACTCCAACAGAGCTGCAGGTCTGGCAACGTGTACTAACTGTCACAGCAAGATGAGGAATTTGTGTAATGGGCAACAATATGTTATCAAAAGAGATTATAAATAGATGATCAGATGGTTGAAAGAGGCATCTGCCATCCCTATTTTATATTCTAACAATTTTTCCAGGATTCACTCCCACACACAACCACTGAGCCATGCTGGCCAGCCAGTCCTGGTCCTTTAGAAAGTTCATCCAAAGAACCCAGATAGCCAGGGTGACCAGCCTATGGTTCAGGTGATCCACGGAACCAGATCTATAACTCCATCTAGTAGCAAAGCTCCACCAATGGCCCTATCCAATTGACTAATACAGCCTATGCCCTCACCCATTCAGGCAGCCTAGCCAGTGAGCCCACACAATCATGAGCATAGCCTGTAGCTCCACCCAATGAGGGAGCCTGGAGGTGACTCTGCCCAATGTGGAACAGTCTCTATCCCCATCCAATGCAGTATGCCACTAGAAGCCCGACTCAATCAGAAAATGTGGCCAATAGCCATGTCCAACATCAGAGAACAGCCAGAAAGTTAACTTATTGTGAAGCCCACCCTGTAGCACAGTCAACTTCAGGGAACGACCAATGGCATCAATAGATCTCAGATCACAATCTAAGGCCCAGTATGAGTGTGAAGCCCTTATAGTAGCCCCAACTGAGCATTAAGTCCAGCCAGAGACACCATCAGACTAGGGAACACCGCTTGAAACTCTACCCAACCAGGAGCTATTGCAGAGCGCAGCCTGTAACTCTGACAAATTACAGAATCCAAACTTTGGCACCAACATACCACAAAACATGGGCTGAAACCTCACTCAACAAGACGTGACTGCAGAGCTCAGCAAGTGGACCCATCAAGCCCCAGAGTACAGCCAGCAGTTGTGCCTGATCAGGGAGCCCAACCTGCAAGTTCACCAAACCACAGAGCTCAGCCATCATCCAACCGCCAACCTCAGAGCACAGGCACTGGCCTTCCCAACTGAGACCCTGATGACATATCCATCTTCTCATGGATGCTATCAGCTCTCCTGTACTGTATTCCAACCTGACCTGACTGACAAAGGCATTTTTCTGGTTAAGTGAACCTATAAAGTCTATGAGAGGAGATTGCTTACTTATGTGCACTGATACCAAACAAAGGGAATCAAGGATCATGAATATTCAGGTAAACATTGAACTACTCCAAAAAAAAAAAAACTAATAAACTCTAATAACTACCCTTAAAGAAATGGGGGGATATATAAGTTGTCTGACAAAGAATTTGGAATAATCCTATTAAAGAAGTTCAGTGAACTATAAGAACCCATAGGCCAGTTATGGCGAACCTATGACATGCGTGTCAGAGGTGACATGTGAACTCTTTTTTTGGTTGATTTTTTTTGTTAAATGGCATTTAAATAATAAAATAAATATCAGAAATATAAGTCTTTGTTTTACTATGGTTGCAAATATCAAAAAATTTCTCTATGTGACACGGCACCAGAGTTAAGGTAGGGTTTTTCAAAATGCTGACACGCCGAGCTCAAAAGGTTCGCCATCACTGTCATAGAGAGACAACTAAAAAAATAAATAAATAAACCAAATGAGAAGTTTAACGAAAAAGAGAAACTATATAAACAAACCAGCTCAACTAGCTATTCCCAGTCAGGACACATGCCTGGGTTGGGGGCTCATTTCCTAGTAGAGGGGGCAGGGTGAGTGCAGTAGGCAGCCAATAAATGATTCTCTCTCATCATCGATGTTTCCATCTCTATCTCCCTCTCCTTTCCTCTCTGAAATCAATAAAAATATATATTTTTAAAGTCTTAAAAAATAAAATAAATAAGTAAAAAAGGACTTTTTAACTGGCCAGGAACAAATTTATTGAAATCAATAAGAATAGCTATTCTGGAATCTTTAATTTAGGCAGAAGTCCTATGTGCATCCTTCTCTGAGTGTATCCCTCTGAGTCCCTCTGTGCAGGAACAGTTTAACTGATCCTTCTCCCCTGATGGCGCCTCCTTATGACATCTCACTCCTGTCTCACAACCACTGAGTCTTCACAAAGCTGCAGGACCACCTCCACTGCTTCTGTTCTGTTCAGCAACTCTGAGGTCCCATCCATGGATTCTCCACTCAACAGAAGCACCCACTTACAAGCCAAAAGAAGCAAAGGCCACTGCCCAATGGGCACCTTCTGTGTGCTGAGTGGAGATAATTAGAATGAGCTAAGTGTACGACTTTTCTGGCTGCATATGCATCACTTGGCTATCCTAAGGTTCAGGACATTCACCAACCGGTGGTCCGTGGACCACTGGAGGTCCGTGAGGTCCGAAAGGTTGGCAACTGCTGGTTTAAGGAAACCTTTGGAGCAGCGGTCGCCAACTGGTGGTCCGCAGACCACTGGTGGTCCGTGAAGTCTGAAAGGTTCACCATGATTAGTAATGGATGAAGGGGGAACTTGCAGAAATATTGAGTGGGGCTTCACTGTTCATCCAATGGCCTCCTTCACTGGTACATCCCAGCTTCTTGTGGTGCCCAGCCCAGCTAACACTCTGGGTCTCCCAGGGAAACCCCAGGTCGAGGTAACTCCCAAAAAACATTCTTCCCCCTTCCTGAGGGCAGGACTGACACTTACAGCCTTGCATTTTTCTTATGAGGCAAGTCTGATGTGGAAATGCCTCGTCCCAGTGATGGCAGCAAGATTCCACCAGGTTTCTCAGGATTAAATATGGTGAACCTTGTAAAAGGTCAGCCTGATTTTTCAGTCACGCAGTTGGGCATCTGAGTCAATAAGAGTTGGGTGAGGTTAAGACACTAAGGTTCTGATCCTCCAGGAGGAAGAGAACCGTAATGGTGGAGGAAGGTGAAGACAATCCCCCAGGGGACAGGGGTTGGGGCATGGCAGATATGATACCCCACAACTTCCTTAAAATCTCACATTTTCTCTTAATCAGTCACTCTATGTCATTCATTTTTTAACTTGTTTAATAATGTTAATTGCTCTACATAGCTCCACCTAGTAAAATCAACATGCCTGGCAGGGATGTCAGAATGATTCTCTTGTGTGCACCCTGGGAATGCCAGTCTCAAGCCAAGGAGGAGCAGGTTTGAGCAGTTCTGTCTCCAGGAAGGTGAAAAAGGCAAGGTCATTGTGGTGCTTCAGGACAGAATAAACCTCTCTGGGAAACAGAAGGGTTCTCAGGGCGTGGGAGGGGCCACAGTTCCAGGACACCCCCCTCCCCCCCCGCCAATTTTAAACCCAGACTTCTCTGTCCATGTCATAAGCTGGTTTTTGTGCTCATGAACTGCCAAATAATATCAAAATTATCTCAGAATCAAATCCATAAGTCATTTCTTCTTTATTTAGATAGAAATAATGGTGCTCCTAATGCAAATTTAGAGGGTTTAGATAGACACAATCTTGAGAGAACAGGGATAACATGTCCCCCTTCATCCATTACTAATCATGGTGACCCTTTTGGACCTTGTGGACCACCAGTGGTCTAACAATCTTTAGAGATAAGGGATTGCTAGTTTTGGTTTCTCTAAACAGGCAACCAGATGCAGTTCTGGAAGCAGTAGTACCATGCACGACCAATAGAGAGAAGTGCAGGCATGGTTGGAGTCAAGTCTGGCAGGGAAGGGCCACCCAGTTGATGGTAATGGGGACTCTTAGATGCTAAAATGAGAAATGTGATGGCAATAACAGGCTCCTTCCTTTGTTTGTGTCCACCCCGTGTGTCTGAGGCTGGGTGGTCATGAGAGAGAGGCATTATGTGATTTCAGGGGGTTTCAGGGAGTGTGGTGCTATCCAGCAGTAACCAGGGTACCACGAAAATCTATCCTTGTTCCGTTCTGGATACAGGTCACTAACTTCCCCTGAGGTGGAGCCCACGGCTCCAAATGAAGGGCTGTTGTTATGGTGGTGACTACAGGTTGGGAAGGCCATGTGGCCCTGAGCCAGCCTTCTTCCTCTTTGGCCTGCAGAGGGGTGTTTCTCATGCATAGCCCTAGACTTTCCGAATGTGGCCCAGGTAGGATTACTGTGCACCCCTATAGTCTCTTCCTCTTCTGCACGCCTTAACCTCACTCCTTAACCTCTTCTTCCTCTGCCCAGATGTCTCTTCCAGACCCCTTTTCTAAGGATTCACTGCTTTCTCTATAGAGATAATCACATTTCCCCTCCAATGACCCATCTGGATTCTTACCAGCTTTGTAGGAAGACTCAGAAGTCCACAGCTATGCCCACACTGAACTGAGTCACAAAGGTTCTACTAAGTTCTACCGCACCCCAGTCCCTAAAAACTGAAATATTGCCACTGAGTACCATCAAGTCTCCACAACCATGCAATTGCCGGGAGTATAATTCCCCACCTCTTTACCCATCTAGGGCACAAATGGGAACTCAAGGAGCAAGAAATACACCCAGGTGCTTGACTCCTTTCCGGGTGTTTGCTTCCCCGCCCTACTCCCACCCAAAAAAAATGCATACCTTTCCACCTGAATTCCAAACCAACTGACAGGTAAAAATATGAGACAGAGGGGAGCAAAATACCAGCTTTCCTCCTCATAAAAGCTGGGGACATGGTTTGGATGTGTGTCAAAAAATAATTCCTCAATCTGAACCCCAGAACTGGGCTTATCCATAAGGTCCAAGGCTGCTCCAATCAACCACACACATTCCCCACACCCAGACCGCTGTCCCTGTGCACTGGAGCTCAGAGGAGCACAGAGCCCTGGCCCCTCCAGCAGGATGAGCCCATGGAGACTCACCAAGGAGCAGACTCACCTTCACAGAACTCCAGCCTCAGAGACTCCCAGGAAGAAGGGAGGGCAGGGGGGCCAGGAGTCCTGCTGACTGATGGGCCCCCTCCCAGAAGGGGACATCGGTGTGGGGCCTGAGTGCTCCCACTTGGGTCCCAGGTGCCCCTCCTGTCTATTTCTGCATCCACAGAGGTGCCAGGTCTTCATTCTCTGCACCAGAAGCTGCTGATGCTGTGGCCTCTGCTTCCTCCTGCCCCTGAATTCTCAGGTCTGGGACTCTGCCTCCTCTCAGAGACAACCCTGTCCCCACAGGGTCTCCCTGGCTGGAGACTCAGCCCACTACTGTGGTCTGAATGGAAGCTGCTCCTGGTGAAGCTACGGAAGCATGTCCCCTGGGTGTTTTCTCTGCCCCCTGTCCCTTTTCAGTCGCTGCCTCTCCTGCTCTCCAGGTTTCCAGGCCCCGTAGCTAGGCTATTTTCCTGTTTTTGGAGTCGTTGCTCAAACAAGAAGACTCCTGGGGGCTGGCCCTGCCCCTCCCCTTGGGTCCTCCTCCCCTTGCCTCCTGGTCCTGACTTCTCTTTTTGTCCTCCATTTCTGCTGCCACATGTCCTGATGGCTGAGAACTATTGCAGGGCTCCTGAAGGAGGGAGATATGTCTGAAAACACTCAGAAAGTTAGTTTCACTTCTAATTTCCCCATTTGGGAGGAGCTCTCCTCGGGTGATTGTACACACTTCCTGCTCAAGGCAGCCACACTAGACGCAGGCTGGGGACACAGGAGGGCCCCAGGCCCAGAAAGGGCCCAGGGCAAGACGATGGCCAGTGAGAGCACTGAACTCAGCACCAGGTCAGTCTCTGTCTCCCTTCCTTTAACTTTCTCTCAGGTTGTGCTGCTGCTTTAGTATGTGTCATTAGACACTCCTGTAAACCTTGATGTCCGTCCTGCTTTACAAGAACACTCACGTGCAATGTAATGAAATGCAGGACTACCAGTGAGGGAATCAGATCTTTAAACTGCAGAGGGACAGCTGCTGGTGTGAGTGCAGCTGCCACAACCCACAGGACTCTTGTCTTACAGCTACTCCTCAGCCATGGGCCACCTGGACTCGGCTGTCCTTTCTGACGCAATTTGTTATTTTCTCATGATCTCTGAACCCTCTATTTTCCCTGGGGAACCCTCTGCCTTCACCTAGGTTTTTTTCAAAGAGGGTACTTTAGAAAACATAAAATTCTGGGTGCCTTGGTCTCATACCTGAGCTAGGGACAGGTCAATGCCAGGCCTAGTCCCATCTCTGGCCGGGGCTCTGGACTCTCCCTCCAGGGATCTTGATCTAAGGGAGTAAGAGAAAAAGAAAAGGCCAAGACATGAAAGCCTAGTGCAGACTGAGTATTTTCATCTGCACTTTGAGTTTCTGCTCTGTAATGGGTTATACCTCTGACAAGGCAAAGGCCAGAAATCCTATCCTTTTCTCTAGTAATTACTTAATATGTTTAACCTTTTTTAATAGAAAAGAATTACATTTTACATTCTTGCTCATAAAATTTCAAATGACATGCAAGTGTGTAGAGGGGAAAGTCCCCTTAACTTGCCACCCACCTGAAGCTCTCAGTCCTGGTCCTGTTGGGTGTGTGGGCACAGCCTTCCATGTCTCTTTCTCTGCGTTTACACATATAACTGATTTTCCTAATATATAATTTGTGTTTTGTTTTTTAACAAAAAGGATTATATTGCATATGCTATTTTGCATTGTTAATTATTTTAATAGTGAAAATATTGAAGTTTTTCACATTAATGAACATACAGATCTTCTCCATTCTTTTTATTTTTTTAAATATATTTTTATTGATTTTTTACAGAGAGGAAGGGAGAGGGATAGAGAGCTAGAAACATCGATGAGAGAGAAACATCGATCAGCTGCCTCCTGCACACTCCCCACTGGGGATGTGCCCGCAACCAAGGTACATGCCCTTGTCCAGAATTGAACCTGGAACCCTTCAGTCCGCAGGCTGACATTCTATCCACTGAGCCAAACCGGTCAGGGCAATCCTCCATTCTTTTTAAAAGCTGCATACTACTCTATGGAATCAATATGCCCTAATTTTCTTTAAAGAAGTTTTATTTTTTTTATTTTTAAAAATTCTTTATTGTTTAAAGTATTACATATAGTATTACATATGTCTCCTTTTTCCCCCATTGACCTCTCCCTAGCCACCCCGAACCCCACACACACATGTCGTCACCCCCCTAGTGTCTGTGTCCATTGGTTATGCTCATATGCATACATACAAGTCCTTTAGTTGATCTCTTATGCCCCACCTCCCTCCCCTGCCTTCCCTCTGAAGTTTGACAGTCTGTTCAATGCTTCTCTGTCTCTGGGTCTGTTTTTCATTCATAGATTTATGTTGTTCATTATTTCCACATATGAGTGAAGTCTTGTGGTATTTATCTTTCTCCAACTGGCTTATTTCGCTTAGCATAATGCTCTCCATGTCCATCCATGCTATTGTGAATGATAAGAATTCTTTCTTTTTTACAGAAGCTTAGTATTCCATTGTGTAGATGTACCACAGTTTTTTAATCCACTTATCTGCTGATGGGCACTTAGGCTGTTTCCAAATCTTAGCTATTGCAAATTGTGCTGCTAAGAACAAAGGGGTGCATATGTCCTTTCTGATTGGTGTTTCTTATTTCTTGAGATATATTCCTAAGAAGTGGGATTACTGGGTCAAATGGGAGTCCCATTTTTAATTTTTTGAGGGAACTCCATACTGTGTTCCACAGTAATATGCCATAATTTTTAAACCATTCTCTTCCATTGACAGATACTTAGGTCATTTCAACAAGCTGTGATAACAACAATTATGTATTTCTCTTTTTTGCATGTATATACACTAGAGGCCCGATGCACAAAATTTGTGCAGAGTAGGCCTTCCTTCCCCTGGCTGCTGGCACTGGCTTGCCTCTGAAACCTGGGACCCAAGCTTCCTTCTGGCCCTGGCTTTGTCCAGAGGACATCTGGAATGATATCAGGAATGATGTCTTGTCTAATTAGCATATTACCTTTTTATTATTATAGATATATGAATTTGTCTTGTGTCAGTAACCAAAAAATCAAATTGCAGAGGCAACGAATACTAATACTTATTTACATATTCTGCCAAGCTGCCTTTCTAAGGAACTGAACCAATATATTCTGCTAGCAATAGCGAATGAGATGAATCATCTCCCAACACCCATTTTCACAGATTCATTTAGTTAATTTGCATTTTCTGATTACGTGGGAGGTGGAGGTGTTTTGTGTCTATTGGTTATTTAAATTGCCTCTTGGGTGAGTTGCTGGTTTATTTATTGCCAGTGCTATTAGTTCAAGTGATTGTCTTTTCTTTGATGATAAAGGAGGGTTTGTTAAATATTCTGAAATTTATAAATTTACTTTCCTTTTCTTTAATTTTGTTTATGGTGACTTCTACTTGTAAAGCTTGAAATTTGAAGACTTATTATAACATTGATTTTATAAGACAAATATAATCTGGTTATTATGAATAAATAGAAGTGATGCTGAAAGTTACTGGTGAATTCCATGCACACCACCTTCAACCATAGTTCTCGTGTTCTTAAGGTGGCAGTGTCAACTCTACCTTTACTTCAGTGAAAGTTTCTTCTCTACTATCTTCAAAAATGTATTCTTATTTAATTTTGGGACAAAACTATTTTTCCATTGGTGCAACTTTAGCCTTCAGAGCATTATCTGTCCCTAATAAATCTTCTCTTTTTCTCTTTACTTTCTTTTGTCTCAAAACTTTCTTCTATAAGAGTTATTTAATTTTTAGTCGTTTTTTTTGGTTTCTTGTTATATCTAACTAGAGGCCTGGTGCACGATATTTGTGCACCTGGGGGAAGTGGGGGAGGAGTGGTACCTCAACCCAAACTATGCCCTTTTGCAATCCAGACCCCTCAAGACTCCATTGTCCTTTGGGCTGCCGCATTCACCAGCCATGAGCCTGGCTTGTAGCTGAGAGGCACTCCCCCTGTGGGAGTGGACTGACCACAGGGGGCAGCTCCTGCATTGAGCATCTTCCCCCTGGTGGTCAGTGCATGTCATAGCAACCAGTCATTCTGCCGTTCAGTCTATTTGCATATTACCCTTGTATTATATAAGATATTTTTTTAAGTTGGTTGTGTCTTCTTGAGGGGGTGTCTTAATTTCCCTCAATAGCTCTGCAAACTCTACTTTATTATTATTTTTTAATGGTCACAGAACTAATTTTATTTTTTAACTTTATTTAAGCTTGACTTTAAACCACATGTTATTATATCAGCCCATCGGTGCACAGTTGCTTTATTTACCGTATTTGCCGGCGTATAAGACGACTGGGCGTATAAGACGACCCCCTAACATTTCCACTCAAAATACAGAGTTTGTTATATACTCGCCGTATAAGACTACCCCCTCTTCCGCACACCTTCCACACACCAAATAAAAGGTAAAACAATATCAGATTTGATTTTAACATTTTAATTTATATTCAAATGCTTATGACATGCAGGAAAACTGTCACAAGGCTGTATGTAATCAAACATATACATAAAACAGTGCAAGTTTATTACCGGTAAACATACCGGTAATTCACTAAAGAAAACACACTCTATAGACTGGTACCGTAGATGCTTCTCAGGAACACAGGCAAGCAGCCCACAACCTAGAGGGACTGTCAATGATAGAAGTAAGATAACAAATAGAGGTAGAGAGCAAGTGCCGGGCAAGTCCCTAGCAAAGTGCGAGCTCTTCAACATTCTAACAGGCACCATGATAGCGCAAAATCGCGAATCTTCAATGCATATGTAAAGAAATATACGGTAACCCGAATTTACCACACTCGCAAAATCGCACACAGCCAACCATACACCCAGTATGGTATCGCGATTCGTGATTTTGCGCTATCATACTGGGTGTATGGTCGGCTGTGTGCGATTTTGCGAGTGTGGTAAAATCGCATAACAGCAAAATCGCATAACAGCCGAGCATACACCCAGCAGCGCTGCTGATGCCTGAACGGTATGTGGAATGAAGTGGGCGGGCATCGGGAGGCCACTATGGCACGGGGCAAGCACTATGGGCAGTCTATCTGAAGTGTACCTGGCGTATAAGACGACCCCCCACTTGGAGGCATATTTTTCAGGGCCAAAAAATCGTCTTATACGCTGGCAAATACGGTAGTTGTTTCTGTGATATTAAGTGCTTTGGGGATGTGTTCCTCACCCTCTGGGTTATTCCTCCAGATTGACCCTGTCTGCAGTTTGGTGCCTGTGTTGCTTCACTTTCTTTCTATATATTTATTTATTTACTAGAAGCCCAGCACACGAAATCATGCGGCCCTGCCCACACGTGCCAGTCTTTGGTCATTACGGCATTATGGCCACTGGGTTTTTATCTATATAGATTTACTTATTTATTTATTTATTGTTTGCGTGTCTGTTTTCCATCACCATTTATCCCCTCTATGTCCTTTTCACCTCCACCCATACCCCAATACCCCACTCCCCAACCACCACACTTGTATTGCTACACTCTCTTTGTCAGGTGCCTGCCATGGTTTTACAGCCCATTTCAGTCGTGCTTGACTTCGGCAGCTCTCCCCTCTTCCCCAGTTCGCACTGTCCTCATCTGGGTTAACCATCCTTTTCCCCTCTGCTCTTACCCAGGGGCCACATGAGCAGAGTCTGTTCTGTTCTCTCTTCTCTTCCATTGGCCCACAAGAGTCTCTCCTTATGCCTCACCGACTGTCTTAGCTCCATATGAACTCTTGGCACTTGGTAGAGTACATCTCCCCATCTTCGTTCCTTCT